AGCTGCCGCGCCGGCGCCGGGCTGGACATGCTGCCCCGGCCGCCCCGAGGACGGTCCCCGGAGCAGGGTAGACGCCGGCCCCCCAAGCTCCTGGGGCTTCGGGCAGGGACCTCCGGCCCCGAAACCCATCGTGCCTGTGCTTGGCGGCCACCTCACCATGTCCCCGGCACTTCGTCGAGCCCCCAGCAAGCAAAAACCCGGTCCCACTCCCCTGGCTGAGGCCGGTGCACTCATTACACCTCCCTCAGGCAGGAGCAGCACCTGGGAGCGATGCTGCCAGCACAGCCACCCTCCTATCGACCGCTTGCCCAGCCCATTTAAGTACACACACCTGCTGCTGGCAGAGACTTTTCAGGGATAAAAAAAAACCCTTTTTCCACCCAAAAGACGCGATCCCAAGGGAGGAAAGGGGAGCACGGAGAGTACTCACCGCTGCTGCCCGCACCGAGCCATCAGCCAGCACCCAGTGGGCTTGGAGCCCGAGTAGGTGGCAGAGGCTGAAGTCAGTGTTGTCATGGCAATCGCAGCCATTTGGGATGGGGCTCAGCACCCAGGACCGCAGGATACGGCCCCTTGGCTGGCCCCGAGGGGTTTCTATGGGAGACCATACCCAGGGCTGGGGGGCAAAGGCGGCTCCGTGGCCATGTGGGGCTGCTGCGCCGTTGGGATGATTGCCCATTAATGCAGGGAGGATATTTTTAAACCCTCCCAAAATAGTCTGGGAGTGTGGAAGTCCCTGCAAGCCCCAGGGATAAGGAGGATGGGAGGATGGAGAGGATGGGGATCGCTCCCCTGTGGGAAGCAGAGCCCCTCTGGGGACCCCTGACCCCCAGACCCCCTTTGGACACAGGTCAAGGATGCTTAAAAGCAATCAGAGCTAAACGTGGTATATTAAGCCAGGTACCCATAAGGATCAATGACAGTAACACAAGCGCGAAGCTTTCACCTTCTTCCCTAAATTGAGATTTTCTGGGGAACCTGCTGGGGCCACAATCCTGGGGCAATGGCTTTGCCGTCACGCAGTGCCCCGGGAGCTCCCAGCTGCTGGGATGAGGGGCTAAGGAGGGAGGAAAAAATAGACCTTTGGCAAGGTGGATTAAATTATGCATCATTATGCTGCTTGGATTAAATTATGCATCAAAAATAAAGACCAGCTGCAGGTGGTGATGGGAGGAATTGGGGGCCCCATTGCCAGCCCTCCTCGGCACCCCACGGCAGAGGCAAAATGGGATTTCTAACCAGAAAAAGCTGTGAATAGCGCACAAACAAGCGATGTGCCACAAATAACTCTTCTTCACCGTCAACCTCTACATGAGTCGTGGGGGGTGGTTGTCCCTGCCCACAGCCGGGAGTTACAGGGGAGCGGGGCGAGCCCTGTGGCCAGAGGGGATTTTTCCGGAGAGAAGGGGTTTGCTGCACTTCATTTTTCTTGCCACGGGATGCCCAGGTGAAGCACAGGCTGGTTTATGGCTCCTTGTGCCAGGGATGGATGTTGCCCAGGTTGCTCCATGCCTCCTACCTGGGGAGGGTCGCAAAGGGAACGGCCCCATAGAGGTCTCTCCCTGCCTGTGGCCACGCTCGGAGGGCGGCAAAGCCCCTTTCCCATGGTCAGGCTGAACGGCACGGAGATTCGCTGACGTCGGTCACCTCCCTGCAGCCGCAAAACCCACGTTTATAAGGGAAAAAAAAAATAATAGTGCAGCAACATGCTCTTCCCAGCCACGCAAACATGTTGCCCTCCCCGGGGTGGGGACTGTCCCTTTAGGGCATCGCAAGGAGGGTGCCTGATAGTGGGGAGAGTGAAACCTGTCCCCCCCAGGGCGGCCAGGCATCCTCCATGGGGCGAGCCG